GTTTTGAACCTCTTGAACCAGCTTTCAACTTGGCTTTTACTGAATGCTGCCTCGCCGAAAAGTTCGTTGAGATCGCGAAATGACTCTGCCTCCTTCCAACCTTTTCGAAGTGGTAGACATGTGTGGCTAGGAAGACGATTTTCGATAAACTAATGAAAGAGAGAAGACTATTTTCATGAAAAATAATCAACAAAACGCCAATCTTCTCGAAAAAAGAAGGCGCGAAAAAAAAGCCGCAATAATTATAATAATTATGCATCAAACCAATATGAACCGCTTTCTTGACCGGTTTCGTCGTCGCAGAAATTGTCGTCGGTGACGAACTTGTTCAGCAAAATAAATGTCTCAAATGTCCTTCTCTGAAAAAAAGGCAAGCCGAAATATGACGTCATCTGCCATCGTCGTCAAGCTCAAGGAACCTACCGTAACTGCTTCAGCCTGAAGCTCTTACATAATTTCTTGAATCGATTTCAATGTTGGATAGTTTCTAGAGGACATTAGCTCCACTATGCAAACCCCTCGAAACCGCTTTCCAGTAAAGGTCGTTATGGTACACGATCCTTCGAAGACCCCATTGAGCTCGACCAGTGCACCATGTTTCCAGGGCAAATTTTTCTGATGCCATCCACGTAGAAGTTTTGTTTTTTCATAATGTGATATGTGCTTTTCATTGCTGAGTTGGGGGTATTCCGAATGAACAGTGGAGAGTGATTGAATTTGAATGTGGCGACAAAATGTTTTTCACTACCCCCCCCCCTCACCTGTCCCCTTTATAAACACCCACTGAACGTGCTGGCGACCATTCCACATAGTGTTGCAGCGCAGCTGGAGTGCGGTGGGGGGAGAAGTTGAAGATGGAGGGGGAGAGGGAGAGAGGGAGGGGGAGAGAGAAAACGAAAACCAGCCGCCAACGGACCTAAAACCCAATTAACGGTTGGGATGTCATTTTAAGATCATGTCATGACTGTGATAATGCATTCTACTATATAAAGCACCTTTCTTGTGCACACGCAACCCATCCACGAGGTGTTGTCATCACAAATGAAAAGGAGTATAGCGGAATGCGTGAAGCTTATGCAGGAAAAGAAGGTCAGGCGGTTTCTGTGGAACAAATCGGGTCAGAAAAAGAGCTGAGGCGTTCGTGCTTCGATGTAGCGTGCCGGATAAAGACATAAATGTCGCTGCTGCAAAATAATAGAGTACCGTCCAAAACTACTAATATTTCAACTAATCTAATGACAGTGTTTTCCATCGTAACCTATACCGCAGAAAGCGCTTTTGAAAGAGGCCCAATCTCAGTCTGCTGCCGGAAAACCTTAGAAGTTTTCTGTGCATTTGTATGTTTCATGGCTACTGCAGAGAGGTAACAAAGCCCCGTTGAAAATTCGAAAAACAGGAATGCGCTAGAAGTGTTTGTTGATTCTACAGGGTCACCGTATTTCTGAAAAACATTCAGTCAACGAGAAGTGCGGTCGTAATCACTAATGTCTATTGGTGTGCGTTCGTGATGCATCCGTGATGGCCTCTCAGGAAGGAAGGAAACTTTGTTGATAAATAGAACCTATGCATAGGCTTGCTGACATGGTGAAATGCGTTAAAATTCTGAAAACTAATCAATTACGAAGACTCTCCGAAGAAAAAGATGCAGACCGCCTTCTACCACTTCACAAATGTGCACTAGTCGATTAACCAGGAAACTTGCAGGATGATATACATATTTAAGCGCTTTCCGCCCTGAAGTTGAAGTCGATGGAGCGCACGTAGTAATTTTGTGCGACGAAACCTTTGAGATAATACAACAATCCGTCAATCTTTTTGCACTTACAAGGGAGGTCGTTCAGGGTGTGGAGCGCTTTTTCAAAACGGTTTTTTGCATGCTGTAGGGGCTCTCACGGGGACTACAATACTATGTTTCATTTTCGCTGAGCGGCCCCCTGAAGGCCAAAAAATGGTAAAGAAATGGTCCAGGGTTCAATCCCTCTTGATGACAAAATTTTTGCACTTTCAGGTTGGAGCTTCGAAATTCCGCTTAAAATAGCGCCAGCACCTATATTACATAGGTATCGTAGACAGCAGACCCTGCGACTGCGCGGGACTAACGCTAGGGAGAAGAAGACCTATATTAGGTATCGTGATCATTATCCAGAGATCAGTAGATATTGTACACAAATTGTCACCAGAATCTGGCCGAAAAAATTTGAAGCTGGAGAAAGGCGTCAAACGGCGCCGAAGTGGCGTAAATTGGCGCTATCGGAAAAATGGATGTCATATTCGTGATCAAGCAGCTCGACAGGGGTCGGGACAAAAAAAGAGTCACTCTCACTCACATTCAAAACAGAATTAATTACACTTTGCCAAAACCAAACCGAATGAGCTCAATTGCATATTGAAGAGCACATTCTATTCTATCAAAAAATTACATAGGGGCTTTCTACACCAGAAGATTTTCCCACGGAAACATGGTTCACGGTACGAGCTCAACGAGGTCGTCGAGAAACCATAGACGATTACGACGTCTCTGAAACGCTGGTCAAAAGCCATCTTGCATAGTCAGAGCTAGTGTCCCTAAGAAGCCATTCACCAGTTATCCGATTGAAGAAATTATGTAGCAGCTTCAGAATGGAGCGATTATGGTAGGCCTCCTTGAGCTCGACGGTGATGACAGATGACGTCATATTCTGAAGACGGTGAGGGCAGTGAAGGAGGGCCTGATTCTGCTTATGGGGGGACATCTAAGGAATATTTCGCCGTATAACTCCCAATAACAGCGGCATCCTTTGCGACGAAAAGTTTGATGATATGCGCCATGGGCAAAGTGACTTTTTTGCCCCCCCCCCTGTATTTTACTTCTGAACATTGGTCTGCGGGAGTAAATCAGAGTCCTGATCACGGATGACATTCGTTTTCGGCGTTGGCTCCCTGCGTCTAGCACTGCAAATTCATTCCGCCATTTTTCATGGAAGATCCATTTGCATGGGGCTAATAATGGTTCTAATTGTAAATATAGCGTTGATTTTGACGCTGATTTGGAGATGACAATCAATGGTGCAAGAATATGCCGTGGAGCGGAGCCGAACCACAGAAGTCCCTGCTCCCCACCCCACCACGCTACCCGCTTGATCAGCAGTCCACTGTGAGTAAAAATATACTGAGAACGCTTATGAAACCCCCACACTTTCTGCAGCACATCCACTAACAGTACTTCAGTTTTAAGCGAATTTCAAGCTCTTTTCGATAGTATCTCCTTAATTATTATTGTTAATGTATTATCAGTCGTTTTTTAATAAGCTTTCTCTGTGAGTGAAAAAAAAACTTATCAAAAAATCATTGTCAAGCAAAAAAAAGAGCGGAGGAGGGGATTATTTTTCCTTTTTCCAAAAACTGAAAGCGGACGAGTGACCTGTGAGATCTTATGGTGAAACGTATTTTTGAGGTACTGGTCGAAGGGGTCGAAACGTCAGGCCAGTGAATAAAGATTCCATCTTAAAAACCTCGTTTGGCATACAGTACAAAAACAATTGCAGTACATTCAACATCAAATGCCGAGGTTCCAAGAAAGGACGACATGTAGACTGTTTTGGAGGGTTCTCCATCTACCAACAAAGAAAGCGCTCAGCTATACAGTAGGACTTAACCGACAAAATGGATCAGTTTTATAGATGAACATGAGGTAGACTGCTGGCTTGGAGCCAATCAGGGATGAGTCATAGCCTCTGTGATAATGTGACGGATTCAAAGACGTGTAAAACTGAGAAACCTTGAACAGCACTCTGCGACAAAGTACAATTTTATCAGACAACTTGCGCAGTTACAAGGAGTGATGGCTTCCCTTCGTCAAAGCAGCAACACAATTGCTGTGAGGTTTCAGGTACTAGGATTTATGTAAACGAATTTATTAATTTTCCACATACCTGATGGAATATGTACAGCATAGTTCTTTTGACTATTACAGCTACAACACAAATGGAATCAACATAGCATTTAATTTAAGGATATGTACACGTATCAAAGTAGGATAGCTTTTGTGATTGCATTTGATCGTCTCTTCTCGAGAGCACATTTCAGGCCTTGATACTTGACTAGATCCAGTTCAGTGAGAAGATTTACAAGTATCCGCTCATCATCGAATGAGAGGTTTTCATTTTCCAAATGCATCGGTGACAAAAATCGAGAAATATACACCTGAAAGGCATAAGTACGATAAATGATACAATTCAATCATGAAAAATGTTGCTCCAAACTTGTGAATATCCTTTTACTAATTATTCATTAAAAGAGGGAAAAGAAAACCAAAAATCTGGTGCGCCTTGAGCTAACGAAGTACAAGATTGGCCTTAACCTGCGCTTATGTTTTCATTCTTTCACGGTATTCTAGGGGCAGCAGTGGTGTAGTGGCAAATGGCACGCTTGCCACGCGCACGGTGCGGAGACGTGGTACCAGACCTGTCTGGGAGGATAAAAACACTGACTTGTACATCGGCTGGCCCCCGCAAGTCATTGTATAGGCCACATCGCATTCAAACGCCACTACGAATGGAAGTAGAATGCGTGCCGCATCCCAAAAAGGGATTGATCAACGGCAAATGCTTTATCCTATCCTTTATCCATAGAGAATTCTAGTACCTACACGATTACTTTGAAGGCAGTGATTACGATAGATTCAAGAAGGGTTTATAGGAGACTGGTGGTGCTCAGTGGTACGCCAGTGGCGAAAAAAGCGGAGAAATCCGTCAAGAAAACGCAAAACGGGACCCCCTTTTTTGGCCGTTAGTTTTCATGAACAGGTAACAGCTCAGAAAGCGGACGTATGAACGAGTTCAGCGCAACGCGTTTGGTGCAGCATGCCAATCCATGCTCCAGTCGAGTTGCTTCAGTTGTGCCGCTGCTGGCAACGCAGCTCGTCCAAATCACCAACTAAACTAGTGGGCGGATCGCTTTTGGGGGCGGAGTGCTTTCGAAGTCCTGCTCAGCAACCAGCGCACCTTTCGTCGTGAAAGCGCTACACCTCGCTTCCCTGGCAGCCAAGTAACTGATTCGTGTGGTGCATATGCTTCCCCGATGCGCTCCCACTTTATCGTAATCGCTCCCTTTAAACATAGAACGGAGGTTGGTTGCTGAACATAGAGGCTCTGTTGTACAAAAAAGGAGCAGCACCAGGTACATCTTTGCAGTGAATGCGGCGTTACATGACACTTGCGAATCAAAGCAGATGCTGATCTTTAGTAGTTTCCAACTTGTTCAATTACTTACCAATGACGATAAATTTGTAAGCGTGGCTGCCACAAAAGCGATTAGAGCAGCATCAGAAGGAAACCGTCTTTTGTGCCGTAGACTTGAAAGTAACACTCCACGATAAGGTACAGTACGGAGTACGCAGGCATTCGCATCAAGAATCGCGGTATCAGGCAGATTCAATGCGGCCGACTCTCCGCGTTCGTAACAGACACCAATCACTCCTTTAGGTCGACTGAAACGAAAGATATTCAGTAAAAGTTAAGAATGGCCACGACTCGTCAACAGACCGAAAATTTGAGCAACAAAATTAAGAAATTTGAAGGCACATTCTATGTCGGCACAGCAGGCACAAAATTATGCGAATAAAGTAGAGATGCGCAGCCGCAGAGGTAGCGAATTTCGCGGCTGCACAGTGTTTGGCATAATGGTATGAGCGTCTTGGTATGCAACCTAAGGCTTCGGCCGCCCATATTTGTAAATGGGCCAGTGCCTTCGCTTCACTTGTCCCTCCGCTCTCTCGTCTCAGCGCCCAGTCATTCTTCCTGATGAAATCCTCCATCGCTTAACAAGAAAACCGTTTTGGTGTTGTCAGCGATTTCTTTTTCAATGCTATACAATTCGCACCTCTACTTGCATTTGAGCACAGTAACCACAACTAATCGTGGGAGTGTGTCTTCGCAGATCTTCAAAATTCCTTTACTCAAGAGAGAACTTATTTTGACGTAGGTGATCCTAAAGAAGTGGATTAACCCGCAATAAACCAGAGAGTCCACAACAAGAACCCAACAAAACATCAAACCAATTGAACTCTAACTGATTATACTGATTCCGAAAACCTACTACATTTGCATCAAAACAGAAAGAAGGCATAATATCAATCTGAGGAACATACTTACACAGATCTTATAAACGGCTCAAATATTATATGAGACAGCGGAAAACCTCCTCTTCAATCGGTACCGTTGTAGACTTTGCTTTTTGCAATAAAATTTTCCTATCCAAAACAAGCACTTGGTCCTTATGCGAGAGCTGAAAATTACTCCACTTGCCTGCTCTTACCTGTTGCCTGCCTAAGCTATTACC